CCTGCAACTACAGATGTCAGTGAGGGCTTATTTCAAAGCTAATTTACTGGTTGTTCAGAGTGTGTAAATACTACAATGTCCTTACCCTAACCACAGTTGTACTTTTAGTGATTCTAAAGGATATTTTTTTAAAACAAACATGGTATACTTACCTTTCCTGTGCATTGGTTTTACCCAAAGCAACCACAAGCCTCCAATTCTGGGGTTCCCTGCTGGCACTCCTGGCTCCTACCCCCTGCCGAGTGCCATCATAACAAGCCGCTTACTATGGGGGGAACCTGTGCAGGCTCAATCCTGAGCTGCGCTCTGTGTGTCCATTGACACTTCTTCACTGGCTGTGATTGACAGCAGCAGGAGACAATGGCTCCTTGCTGCTGCCTCTCTGTCCAGTGACGAGAGAGAGCGAGACAGTGCTGCTCTCGTGCACAATGCTGGATCGGGCTCAGGTAAGAATAAGGAGGCTGGAGGGGGGGAGCTGCACAGAGAAGGTTTTTTTTACCATGATGCATTAAGGTAAAAAAAGTTTACCTTTAAAACCTTTTTAAGCTGAACTCTGGCTTTTTAAACACTTTATATAGTTTTTTCTTTGCTATGAAATGTGGCTACTGCCAGTGCTGTATAAACTGTATAGAGTGTTGTGTTCTGGCAGCAGAACAGGGATGCAAGATTGAGTCAGCCTGAGCGCTTGCTGCTCAACCATTCACAAGAAGCCTTGTAATTTTATGAATAAATACAAGTATTTCTCTGATTAGCTGAAGTAGAGATGGCGCCGTTATCCACCTGCCTCTGCAACTCAGAGGAAAGCTATAAATGAATCACTACATTATGGATCTTTAGGCAGTTGCATGCAATGCCCCATATTATATATATATACATAAATATACTTGTGCTAAAAAAAAAATACATTGTTACAAATGCAGCTTTTTTTGCACATGTAGAAGAGGTCTTTTACTTACCCGACCCCTGCTCCCACAGGTTCCCTTTTCGAATGATCGGCCCCACAGCCTCCTCTCTACAGCTCACCTTACATGTTACAATCAGACTGTCCTATCTCCTGTAGATCCATCAACACCTATGTAGTGCAAGGACCTGTCTGATTTGATACAGATTGATTCGATAGATTAGTTAGGTTCTAATTACATAATTAATTGTACAAAAATTGTACGGTGAAGACTGTAAGTTTTATAGTGAGCCTTAGGTGATTTGGTGGTCAAAGGGACTCTGATGTCATCAAGTACAATGTAGGGCCAAAGGAGAGCCTCCTGCATGCAAGGTTACACTTTTTAGTTTCCTTGGAGTTCAACTTTAAATTTCCCCCTGAATGCATTTTATTACATCTCTTCAATAAGTGCAAAATATTACCCCTTGTTATCTCAAGCAGTGGTATCAGCCCTACCCAAGATGCCTTAGAGAACTACAAACCCACCCACCTATATGATGAAGATCAGAAGAGAGGGAGGTGTTCTGTAGTCCAAACATACTTCCCACAATAGGGTGACAACTCTGATCCTTTAACCATACAGTAAGGTGAGTGTTGGCACCCTATTCCAGGAAGTGTGTTACTGGCAGAATAGATAGAGAAAAATAAGAGAAAACAACTACCACATCCAAGGACTGATAAGCTGCAATATATGATATTTTTGAGCTTGGGTTTTGTTACACTTTAAGTCCTCATGCACCTGGGACATTTTTACAGCTCCAGTTTTTGGCTTTTGACTTTTTTTATACAGCCCAGTAACCCCCCCAGCATGTTATCCTATGTGTCCATGCACACATAGACTGTAATCAACGTTTTTTGGTTGGGACGTTTTTTGGGCTGGAAAAAACCCAGGACTAGTGGGGTTTCTAGAGGAGTTTTTTAGCTGTAAAAAACACAGCAAAACATGGTAAAACACCGCAAACCAGTGTTTTTGGATGTTTTTTGGATGTTGGTAAAAAAAAACACTAAAAACTCCTGCAAACGTGGGAAAATGCCGCTAAACGCTAATGCATAAATGTTAAAAAAAAAAACCTGAAAAACTAACGTTTTTAACGTGACTTTAACACAGCTAACGTTACCAGCTTTATCAAAACGTCCAGCGTGCATGAGGACTAAGCATTGATGCAGAATCCATGAATCAGAGCCATTGTATCTCACTTAAATCTCTGGGTCCTTAGCCTTGGGACAGTCAGTTGGCAGCGATGTCCACTATTTCCATGATAAGTTCTCCAGTCTTGTATAGTAAAACGAAATGCGCTCAAAAATAGTGCTGAAATCTTTCACAGGCCTACCAGGCAAGGTGCTGTGTTCACATAATGTCAGGAGGGATATTTGCTGATTCCTGCTGGAATATGTAGTCAATAAAGTCACTCCTACAGCAAACACAGAATGCCCAAAATACAAAATATGGCCACTAATTGGGGGGGCTCTGTTCACGATCTAAACAATTTAGGGAGTTCAGACAGTTGACCACCCCTTTAGTATGAACAGCTGGTATTCAGGGGGACACCATTTGGGACGTGTTATTTCTGCCTTTTGAAAAAATCATTGCTATATGTTATCCTGAGCTGGGGATCTGATGATGTTACCATGGAAACCCATCTTCAACAGACGTGAATGGAAAAGTTATGGAAAGATTCTATTAACAGAATGTTATCACCGCCCCCTCCTCCTCACCACCCGCACTGCTACTACAGCACCATTGAACAGATTTTGCGCCAGTGGGAGGGGGATGGTGATATTTCACGTCAGTGAATAGATGGACTACTGAACCCAGATATTGTATGGGACATGTTAGGTATTTCTGACTGGTGGAAAAGAAGGGAAATTTCCTATTGGTGGAATAGAGGGGAGGGGACATAGCTGACTTGAACTAATGGATCTCTAGTCTAGATTGGAGGGGGGCTCTGTTCTTCGTTGGAGGTCTGTGAACTGGAGGTCGTTGGCTGTGGTCAGTTGGGTGGATTAGAGGGTTCTTAGGCTGTGGTCAGCAAGGTAAATTGTAGATCCCTGTCTTTGGTCGGTAAAGTATATGGCTGTGGTTGGTTGGGTAGCCTGCAGAAGGGGGGGTCTTTTGGTTGACAGGGTATATTGAAAGGCTGGGCGGGTCTCTGATTGTGGCCAGCAGGGTAGATTGGGGGTCCCTAATGGAGATTGGTGGAGTAGATTAGTCAGTGGAGTATCTGGCTCTGAGTGGCAGGATACATTGGGGGGGTTCTCTACTTGACAGGGTACATTGGATTAACTTTTGGCTGTGGTCGGTAGGGTACATTGAGGGGATCTTTGGTTTGTGCTCAGAGGATACATTGGGAGGGGGAAAGTTAAGTCATGGTCGGCGCGGGTATATTAGGGTAGTCTCTAGCTGTAGTTAGCGGGGTACATGGGGGGGAGGTCTCTGGTTGCAGTCAGCAGGGTACATTGGGAGGAGTTTTCTGAATGTGGTCACTGGGGTACAATGGAGGATTTTCTTGCTGCGGTTGGCTGGATATATTGAAGGGGGCCTCTACCTGAGTTCAGCAGAGTACATTTTGGGGGTGGGGTCTCTGGCTGTGCTTGGCGTTTGGGAATCCCTGGTTGTGGTCAGTAGGGTACATTTGGGGTCTCTGGCAATAGTCAGTTTGGTAGATTGGGTTGGTCTATGGCTGTGCAGTGAGGTCATTCATGGGGCTACATTCAGGGAGACTCTCTGGCTAGTAGGTCAATTTGGGGGGGGGGTTGTAGATTGGAGGGCGAGATCTCTGGCTGTGTGGTACAGTGGTCAGGGTACATTAAGGGGGGGGGTTGGAGTAGATTGCTGTGGTTGGTGGGATATACATTGGTCAATACGAGGGGGTTTCCTGCTTGTGGTTGGCATTGGGGAGTCCCCTGGTTGTGGTCATAGAACACATTGGGGGGTCTCTGGCTATGGTTGGCTGTGGGAGTCGGTAGATTGGGGGATCTCTGGGGTCATTGGAAGGGGTGATCAGTAGGGTACATTGCAGGGTGGAAGGGTTGTAGCTGTGATTGGTGGGGTATATTGGGAGGGTCTCTGGCTATGGCAGTGTTTCTCAACTCCAGTCCTCATGGACCCCCAACAGGTCATGTTTTCAGGATTTCCATTATTTTGCACAGGTGATTTGATCAGTTTCACTGCCTTAGTAATTACCACAGCTGTTTCATCTGAGGGGAAATCCTGAAAACATGACCTGTTGGGGGGTCCATGAGGACTGGAGTTGAGAAACACTGGGCTATGGTCAGTGGGGTCTAATTGTGGCCAGCAGGATACATTAGGGGAGTGTTTGTTGGAGGTTGATAAAGTAGATCGGGGGTCTCCAGCAGAAGTTGGTGGAGTAAATTTGGGGGTCTCTGGCTGTGGTCAGTGGCGTCTGGCTCAAACAGGAGAATACATTGGGGGGGGGGGGGGTCCTCTGGTCAGCTGGGATCTCTGGGTGTGCCCAGCAGAGTACATGGAGGGGGTCTCCGGCTGTGGCCGGATGAATAGATCACACATCATGACTGGGGTTTGTCACCTCCTCCCTTTCAAATCGAACAGACATAATTACACAGGTTCTGTGGCTGGGTTAGGGTGGTAATTAATCTCACGTAGTGCCTCGTCTACATTAAATCAGCCACACAAGCTGTGTAATTGATGTGTTCGGTTTCAAATAGTTTGAGGTGACAACCCTGGTGAGAGCAGATTGTACATCGGAGAAGACTCTACTCAGCTGCGCCCTCCATACACTACAATATCATTCTTACACACAACCACATGGTAGAAAGCCCCTCCCCCAGTCAGAGCGCATCCGCTGCGGTTACCACAGGCAACGCAACTTCTTTCCGTTCACACTAAGCCACACCCCACGCCTTCGGCTCCTCCACCAAAGAACGGAGACACTGTGTCTGCGCGCCTCCTGATTGGACAAAGCTTCCCGAGATATTCGCCCTCATCTAACATGGCAGTCGCGTTTCCGCTTCGTCACCTCCGGTCCCCCTTCCTTGTGGTAGAGAGTCGGTGTAGCAGCTGCTGTGTTCGGCGGCAGAGATGGCGATGCGACAAACTCCGCTGACCTGCTCCGGTCACACCACCCGGCCTGTGGTGGACCTGGCTTTCTCCCGGTATCACCCAGTACGGGTACTTCCTGATCAGCGCCTGCAAAGGTGAGACCGCCGGCTAATACCGCTTACCATACTGTGCCCCGCTCTAACCAGACCAACCAATACCCCCCCCTACCCATCCCTCCCTCTACTAAACTGTACCCATCCCTCCCTCGACCAGACTGTACCCATCCCTCCCTCTACCAGACTGTACCCCCTCCCACCAACCCCATCCCTCCCTCTACCAGACTGTACCCATCCCCCCCTACCAACCCATCCCTCCCTCTACCAGACTGTACCCATCCCCCCTAACCAGACTGTACCCATCCCTCTACCATACTACCAACTGTACCCCCCCCCTCAAACCCATCCCCCTCCCCTCCCTCTACCAGACTTTACCCCATCCCTCCCCTCTACCAGACTGTACCCATCCCTCCCTCCCACCCCCTACCAGACTGTACCCATCCCTCTGCCCGGACTACCCCCCCCCCCGCTCACCATCCCTCTGACTGTACCCCCCCCTACCCATCCCTCTGCCGGACTGTACACACCCCCCCCGCCTTTGACCCATGCCTCTGCCGGACTGTACCCCCCCCCCCCTTAACCCCCCCCTGACGGACTGTAACCCCCCCCCTCACCCCTCCCTCTGCCGACTGTACACCCCCCCCCCCTACCCCATCCCACTCTGCCGGGACTGTACCCCCCCCCTCCCCATCCCTCCTGCCGGACTGTACCCCCCCCCCCCACCCATCCCTCTGCCGGACCTCCCTCTGCCGCCGACTGTACCCCCCCCCCCTACCCATCCCTCTGCCGGACTGTACCCCCCCCCCCTACCCATCCCTCTGCCGGACTGTACCCCCCCCCCCCCCCCTACCCATCCCTCTGCCGGACTGTACCCCCCCCCCCCCCGCCTACCCATCCCTCTGCCGGACTGTACCCCCCCCCCTCCCATGCCCTCCCTGTGTATCCCCATCCCTCTCTGCCGGACTGTACCCCCCCCCCCATCCCTCTGCCGGACTGTACCCCCCCCCCCCCCACCCATCCCCCCCCCCCCCCCAAACCCATCTGCCGGACTGTACCCCCCCCCCCCCCTCCTACCCATCCCTCTGCCGGACTGTACCCCCCCCCCCCTACCCATCCCTCTGCCGGACTGTACTGTACCCCCCCCCCCACCCCCCCCCCGCTACCCATCCCTCTGCCTGGACTGTACCCCCCCCCCCCCACCCCCCCCTGCCCCCCACCCCCCTGCCGGACTGTACTCCCCCCCCTACCCATCCCTCTGCCGGACTGTACCCCCCCCCCCCCCGGACCCATCCCTCTGCCGGACTGTACCCCCCCCCCCCCCTGCGACCCCCCTACCCATCCCTCTGCCTGGACCCCCCCCCCCCCCTACCCATCCCTCTGCCGGACTGTACCCCCCCCCCCCCCCCCACCCATCCCTCTGCCGGACTGTACTGTACCCCCCCCCCCACCGGACATACCCATCCCTCCTGCCGGACTGTAACCCCCCCCCCCCCCCTACCCATCCCTCTGCCGGACTGTACCCCCCCCCCCCGCCCCAATGCCTTACCCACCCCTCTGCCGGACTGTACCCCCCCCCCCCCCCCCACTACCCATCCCTCTGCCCGGACTGTACCCCCCCCCCCCTACCCATCCCTCTGCCGGACTGTACCCCCCCCCCCCCCATCCCTCTGCCGGACTGTACCCCCCCCCCCCCCCCCCTCTTGCCACCCATCCCTCTGCCGGACCCCCCCCACAGGCTGTACCCCCCCCCCCATCCCCTACCCATCCCCCCCAGATCTGCCGGCCGGACTGTACACCCCCCCCCCCCACCCCTCTGCCCGATCCCTCTGCCGGACTGTACCCCCCCCCCCCCATCCCTCTGCCGGACTGTACCCCCCCCCTACCCATCCCTCCCGGACTGTACCCCCCCCCCCCTACCCATCCTGCCGGACTGTACCCCCCCCCCTCTACCCCCCTCTGCCGGACTGTACCCATCCCCCTCCCATCCCTCTGCCGGACTGTACCCCCCCCCCCTTACCCATCCCTCTGCCGGCGGACTGTACCCCCCCCCCCCCCTCGACCCATCCCTCTGCCGGACTGTACCCCCCCCCCCCCTACCCATCCCTCTGCCGGACTGTACCCCCCCCCCCCCTCTCTGCCCTGTACCCATCCCTCTGCCGGACTGTACCCCCCCCCCCCCCTCTGCCGGACCCCCCCATCCCTCTGCCGGACTGTACCCCCCCCCCCCCCCCCGGGGGGGGGGGGGAGGGGGGGTTGGCCATGCATAGGGGTGGGGTGTCTGGTACCCATCCCTCTGCCGGACTGTACCCCCCCCCCCCCTACCCATCCCTCTGCCGGACTGTACCCCCCCCCCACCCCCACCCTCCGCCCCCCCGCCCCAACTGTACCCCCATCCCTCTGCCGGACTGTACCCCCCCCCCCCCACCCATACCCTCTGCCACCATCCCTCTGCCGGACTGTACCCCCCCACCCCATCCCTCTGCCGGACTGTCCCCATCCCCCTCTGCCGGACTGTACACCCCCCCCCCCCCACCCATTCCTCTGCCGGACTGTCTCCACCCCCCCCCCCATCCTCTGCGCGTACACCCATCCCCTCTGCCGGACTGTCTCCACCCCCCCCCCCCCCACCCCCATCCCTCTGCCGGACTGTAACCCATCCCCTCTGCCCTCTGCCGACTGTACCCCCCCCCACCCCCCCCCCCCCCTGTACCCCCCCCCCCCACCCATCCCCTCTGCCGGACTGTCTCCACCCCCCCCCCCCCCGAACCCATCCCCTCTGCCGGACTGTCTCCCCCCCCCCCACCCCCCCCCCCGGAACCCATCCCCTCTGCCGGACTGTCTATCCCCCCCCCCCAGCCCATCCCCTCTGCCGGACTGTCTATCCCCCCCACCCATCCCTCTGTACCCCCCCCCCCCCCCCACTGTACCCATCCCCTTGCCGGACTGTCCCCCCCCCCCCTCCTGCCCCCCCCCCCCCCCAATCCCTTGCTCATCCCTCCCTCTGCCGGACTGTGCCCCCCCCCCCCCCTCGACCCCCTGCCGACTGTACCCCCCCCCCCCCCCCCCCGATATACCCAAAACCCATCCCTCCTTCCCTCTGCCCGTCCCTGACCTCTGCCGGACTGTGCCCGTCCCATGCCTCTGACCAGACTGTGCCCGTACACCCCCCCCCCCCCCCCCCCCCCCAATCCCTCTCTCTGAGCCCCCCCCCCCCACCCCTCCCCTCTGACTGTGCCCCCTCCCCTCTGCCGGACTGTGCCCCCTCCTTCTGGCCCATCCCTCCCTCTGCCGGCCCATCCCTCCTTCTGCTGGACTTTTGTGCCCCCCCATCCCTCCCTGTACCAGTCTACTGTATACCCCCCCCCCAACCATCCCTCCTTCTGCCAGACTGTCATTCCTGCCTTATCTGCATACTTGTATCTGGGTCAGTGACTCGCTGTATGAAGGTCTATAAGACAGCCAGGCTTCAAGTCTATTTGCAGGAGGTCAGCAGACCACATGATGGGTTACCCAGCATCCTTAGTGACTTTTTTTTTTTTTTTTTTTTGCAGATGGGAAGCCCATGCTACGTCAGGGTGACACTGGAGATTGGATTGGAACATTTCTGGGACACAAGGGGGCAGTCTGGGGGGCCACTCTTAACAAAAATGCTACGAAGGCTGCTACAGCTGCTGCAGATTTCACAGCGTAAGTATAGCACAGGAGTCACTGTGGCTCTCCAGCTGCTTGGGAACTACAAGTTCCACCATGCCTCTGCCTTTGGGAGTCATGCTTGTAACTGTCAGCCTTGCTGTGCATCATGGGATTTGTAGTTCTGCAACAGTTGTAGGGCTGCAGTTTGACAAGTGATAACCTCATAATAATGGCAAGTCTTTTAATCTTCCTAATACGTCGTATGTCTTAGGATATCAATTGTTTTTATACTCCTATTTGTGTTTTTGAGGGGTGCAGAAATTTTTAAAGAATTTTCACTAGGGATGCACCGAAACATTTTGCTGATAGGAAAAATTTAGTTGATACAGGGGATTATGTGTACTGTATATGTGAGGTAGGTGGGGGGGAGAAAGGCAGGAGAGCAGCAGTGTTTACAGTGACTGGCTGTCACTATGGCTTCCAGGTTTCATTGCCAAAGCTTCATTGAACAAGCTGAGGTTTGAAGCGGATTGGTTTCTATGCAGAAGGGCGTCTGATTTTGGACTCTCCAGCTTTAGTAAATAAACCCCCATATGTCAGTGCCTGTTTTTAAATGCAGTTGCCCGGGTTTTTTTTTTCTTCACTATAGCTCAGAGAATCAGCCTTACTTTCCCCAAGCTAAAAAGAAACAGTTTCTTTTTAGTTTCTTTCCTGAGCTGAAAGAAACAAAGTTTCATTCATTCTCTGAGCTAAGAATAAAAAAAAAAAGCAGTTGCATTTAAAAAACGGGCTCTGACATATACTGACAGCCAGTGAGGGAGCCTCTCTCTATTCACTATTTCCAAAAATGAGTGCAGCGCTCTTACCCTAAAATTATCCTCCCTAAAAAATAAATCTAGAATAAACCAACCTAAAGCCGTGCAACAAGTGCTCTCAAACAAACAAGTGACCTGTAGTCACCCTTGTGCCCTAAAAACCGGTGTATTGACTTAATGTCATAAATATTTTCATAAGTGACAATAACTCATATATTTTGAACATAAACCAGACAAGACCCCTATGTCAGGGGATATATTGAATGTGACAAGTGACAAAATGTGATCACACAGGAAAAACACTTAAAACTCCAAACAAATGTAATTGTCCATCAACAAGTGCTTCAAACAACACAATTGGTCCCCTATGTGATAGCAATAAAATCATCAGTTAAAAAAAAAAAAAATATGTACATGAAAGTAGAAGAAAAAAAATTGGAGCCTCCCCACATACGCAATATGTTTTTGGTTCAGTATTCGGTATCTGTTTTGGCACCAGAATTTTCATTTCGGCACCACTAATTTTTCTCTGTTTATAATATTTATCGAGCAGTGTATTAGTGCTGCGCATGATTTATTTGATGAACTTTTACTTCTGTGAGTGAAACAGAGTGCTGGCTTGTGATTTTTTTTATGATTACTTTAAAACCAGCTACAGCGTGGCTCTAGAGTTCCAGGAGGAAATCCCTAGGCGTGCATCAGGAGCGCTATGTGACCGCTGTGTATCTTGGATACAGTTGATCAGAGATCGCGGTAAAGGGCCAATCACAGCGGTCCTTAACCAAGTGAAACCGCTGTGTCCATTCACAGCTATCACATTGTAAACAGACTGAATTCCTTTTTCCGGTTATCGTCTCTCCTTTCCACAGAGTCTGTATGAGGAAAGGAGAGCTGATCTGTGAGGAGCACAGTAAGTACAGAATTTACACTAAGTGCCCTGATCATCCGTGCAGTCTCATCACACACCAGTGAAGAATCAAAATTACTTTTTTTTTTTTTTTTTTTCTCTCAAATTTTCTGTATTTATTTTGTTTATATAGCAAAAAAATATAAAACCCAGTGGAGACTACCACCAAAAGAAAGCACTCTGTCTCAAAAAAAGATACAAATTTAATTTGGGTACGGTGAAGCATGTCTGAGTAATTGTCGTCATTCGAAGTCTGAAAATGTGGCCTGGACAGGAAGGGGGTAAAAGTGTCCAGTTGTTGCGAACACTTCTTTTTTTTTTTTTTTTTTTTTTTTTTTTTTTTTTTTATATTGGGGGGGGGGGGGGTGTCCTGGGGACGGGGGCTTAACCCTGTGAGGTGGAGGTGTTATTACTGCCTTTGTCTTTGGGACAGAAGTGGAGATTCCAATCAGATTTCATGTGAACTTCTCTACTAATCTCCCCAGATTGGTGTGTGTGTGTGTGTGTGTGTTTCTGTCTGTCTGATCGATCTCCCAGGGGCAGATACTGACACCTTTGACAAACAAAATTCTTCATTCTCTTCCTACCCAGGATAAAGCTTGGTTTATGGTTCCACTGACTCTCCTATCCTCTCTTGCAGGAAGGTCTGGGATGCAGTCACAGGGGATGAGCTGTTAACTTTGGCTCACAAGCACATTGTAAAGAGTGTTGACTTCACCCAGGTAAATGCATCTGTTGTCTGTAAAAGGTTAATTGTAAAGTGGATTATTTCTTACTGTTGTCTTGTAAAGCATTTATTAGTTTGGTTACCCAGGGAATGCATGATTATAGAACATGTTTGGGGGGGTTTAATAGGGGTGCTTACCAGAGCTTACATTTTTAATGCCTTCTATTCTAGGACAGCAATCATCTTCTAACAGGAGGACAAGACAAGCTTTTGCGCATCTATGACCTCAGCAAACCAGAAGCTGGTAGGTGTGATGTGAGGGGTGGCAGTGTGCCGCCTTCCTCTATTCTGTGAAAGGGGTAGGTGGTGGATGGCTGCTCTGATGGTCAGGTCTTCATTGTGTTGTCTGTCCTGCGCCGATGTCTCTATTACTGTGTACAGACTGTCTGCTTATACCCACTACAAGCCTGTGTAATCACAATGTTGGGTCAGAGGGAAGGGAGACGCACGCTAAAACTGACACTTCTATTTCTTCTCGTAGATCCCGAGCAAATTGGGGGTCACACATCAGCTATTAAGAAGGCTTTGTGGTATAACAATGACAGGCAGATCCTCTCTGCAGCTGATGATAAAAACTGTGAGGTAAGATGTGATCTGGTGTTGCAGTCATTGGAGGCGAGGCGCCCCCTGCTGGATCCTTTGCGAAGTACAAAAAAGTGACAGTTGTTGTGGGAGTCAAAAACCCCTACACACTTTCACTGGAGGGAGGGGGGGGGGGGGGGCACATGGCACTATGTTAAACTCTAAATATGGCTGTAACATGGTTTAAAAGACAGTGCTAGTATATTCTGTAGTCTTGCACAGAGATTGCTGATTTGCAATCTAGTCTGTGGAGTCTACTATGTATATATTATTATGGGTTGTTCTGTGGCCTTGTTTGGCCCTACAAATCGTCGGTGTAGATGCTCTCCACCTCTCTGATACTGTGGATATAATCATTCCTCTCTTATAATTGCAGGTTGTGGGACCGAGTAAGCATGACAGAAATAAAAACGCTGAACTTTAATTTATCGGTCAGCAGTATGGAGTACATTCCAGAAGGGGAGACGCTGGTCATCACATATGGAAGAACTATAGCACTGTACAATTCATGCAGGTGTGTGAAAGCTGTGAATGTAGAGATGTCTGTGCATAATCTGTTTTCTATCATTGACAAGGAGGGGCACACTGCAGAATTACCCTTTCTTGTAGCAAAAAGCTGGTGACGTGTGACAGTTAATTTGAAGTTTTTTGTGTGTAAGTGTTAAGGTTAGAGATTCACAGCATATTAAATGCAATATGTACAAATGTAAGTAGAATGTATGTATTGTTCTTTCCTTTTCTTTTTTTTTTTTTTTTTTTTTTTTCCTTTTCTACACTAGTAGTAGTGAGGTGTATCCAGGAAGGATAGGGAGCATGTGCAGGACAAAAGAGAAGCCTGAAAACAATGGAAGGATTCCCCCCCCCCCCCATGTAAATGCTGCATTGGAAAAAATGAAAACACCAATATTTAAATTTTTTTTTTTTTTTTTTTTTTTGCGGGGTGTGTAGACTGCACATGGTTTTAATATGGGGAACTGAGACCTGTCCAAAAACATATGCATAACCATACCACTTAACCAGTGTTGTGATGTGGAAAAGAGTGTGGCTAAATAAAGTTAAAGTTCACCTTTATTGACAAAAATAATAAATTATGCACTTTTTTGGTTTTGTTTTTTTTTTTTACATGGGGGAAAATAAAAAAATAAGCATTTATTTTTTGTCTGCAGGAGCCTGTAAAGCATTGCATCAGCAATTGGTAGATTGCTGATGCCATGCAGGTCTCCTGCAAACCTGCCAGAATATCTGCCTGCTGTATGGGATGTATGAGCAAGCAGATATTGACAGGAACCTTCAATGAGTTCATTGAAAATGACTAGCCGACAGCTGCTAACTGTGAATGAGTGATGCAGCCGTGTTGGCGGAGCCAACATGGCCACACTGTTTTCAAATCCAACAGATATAGTATGGGAAACCTCTCCCTGTACTATTTATCAGGGATGGGGGGTGGGGGGGGTGTGGCTCCAGCTATGGGAACATGTTACTTGTTCCACCCTAAAACCGGGTGGAACATGTTCCCAAAGATGAACTTGTCCTCCTTTTTTTTTTTTTTTTTTTTTTTTTTTTTTTTTTTTTTTTTTTTTTAAAAAGTGCTCAAAGCGTATAACATGTGTTTCCTTTTTAGTCTTGAGCTGGTCAAGTCATTTGAGGCTCCGGCCCCCATCAACTCTGCATCGCTCCATCCAGAGAAAGACTGTATTGTGGCTGGAGGAGATGACTTCAAGCTGTACAAGTACGACTACAGCAGTGGAGAAGAGCTGGGTATGCATCATTGTTCTGATCACAGCATACACGCTGAATGAGGCCCTGTAAAGAATATCCTTTTGATAGTGTTATATAAACGTTTCTCAGGCTAAGGCTGGCCATACATTATACAATTTTCTGCCCAATTTCCTTTAGATTTACCATCCACTATGTAGTGCAAGGACTTGCCAAATTGTATACAGTTGAAAGTGGTGTTTAGGTTTGCCCTCATATTATATGGTTTTTTTGGTAAATCTAAAGCAAAATTCTCAAGAAAATTGTATAATGTATGGCCGGCCTAAAGCTCTGCACCTTGCAGTAATGAATACTTACCCAGAACAGGTGTGCAGAACTCATGAAAGCCAGGGAACTAGCATTTTCAGCAAGTAATGTTGTTTATATAATTGCTACCGCCTTAGAAATTAGTGGAATTTGACAAGCTACAATAGCATCTCAGGATGATGGTGGTAAGAATGCATGCTGCACTTGCTGGAGCGCCTTCATTTCGTCAGATGTGCATTGGAGTCCCTGCAGGCCGTGGGTAGTTTCCTGCTTGGTTATATTGGGTTTTCTGGAAGGGAGAGGTGCTTTCCTGCTCAGTGATATTGGGGTTTCTAGGAGTTGGCCTGCAGATTCTAGAGATTATGCATTCCATTTGATATGTGTTGAACTGTTGGGGTTACCAGAAGGGGGTCAGCAATTTTTCTGCTTGGTGGTACTGGGCTTCCTGGAATGGGTTGGCTATTTTTCCTGCTCATTGATATTTTTTTCTGCAGAATCCTACAAAGGTCACTTTGGCCCAGTCCATTGTGTGCGCTTCAGCCCAGATGGGGAACTGTATGCCAGCGGATCAGAAGACGGTACTTTACGCCTCTGGCAGACAGCAAGTGGGGAAGACGTATGGATTGTGGAAATGTGTTCTGCCAGGTAAAACAGAAAATCTTACTACAGATACCAAAGTGAACCTTCACATTTGACATATAACAAATATTGTCCTCAGCTGCCTAGCTCACCTACATTTTAAAGCGGCATTAAACCTAAAAGCAAACCTCTAATTGCCAGTAAGTCTGTTTTTTGTTTTGTTTTTTTCCAACAGAACAAGCTGTCCTGCAGATGTAGCAGTTAGCGGGTTGAGACAAATCATTTATCACTGACAGGCTGCTTACAATGATCAGTAAAAGCATATTGCTCTAATGTCCAAAGGTGTATTTGCTCCTTCATCTAGAGGGGGGTACTCTCATACAGAAGGTGTTACTGGCCAGATCACAGGTGACATAACCCTAAAACAGCCACCACATCTAAAGATTTTTAAACTGAAATATAACTTTTTTTTTTTTTTTTTTTTTAATTGGTATTAAACCCAAAAGCGAAAATGTATTATTTTGCACCTTACCAATCATTTTTTAAATGTGGTGGCTGCATCTTTTTCTTTTGGCTTTTTTTCCATCTGTTTTCACCTGGTGATCTGGCTAGTAACACCACCTGTATTGGTGGGACACAACTCTGGTTGAGCAGAGGAGGCACAGCGCAGAATTGTCAGTCTGGGGTGGGGGAGGGTAGTGTTCAGTGTATTGGCAGGTTTGAATACAATATCAAACAGCAACAGTTGTGTAGGTCCCTCCTCCTTTTTAGGATAAAGTTTTTACATGAATAAATACTGATTATTTTAATCACCTCTTCCAGTGGTAAATGGATTATCTTATCCATGTAAACTGATCGATTCTGCTTGAGCTTTTGGAAAACAGACTTGCTGGGTGGATCACCAAATGAAAAGAGCACCTAAAAAGGAAACTAATATAGCCATCACATCCCACCTGGCTAAAGACAGCGGTGGGCGAACAAGAATTGGATCGCTGGAATCTAGATCTGCTTTAATACTGCTTTTCTTTACTGGCCAAAAATGGCTCAAGTGTTTGCAATAGTTTAATATGCATTAGTGTTTCTACATGAATTTGAGAAATCCACACTATATACTTTGTTCCATTCACATAGCAGACCTAAAATATTTCTTGCCTTTCTAGTTTTTCAGCATGTTTATTATAGGTTCTATTGCTCATATTACTATATATACTGTTACTGTATCATACAAGCTGTAGAGTTTTTAACCTTTTTTCTAGGAAAGTGTGCACATCTAGTTTACAAACGATGATGAGATCTACCAGCTCACTACAGACAGCGTTAATCATTGTAAACCTAACACCCTCAGCCCCTCCTTAACATTACACAGAAGGGGGGGAAATGAAGTTGGATTTTTCAGGATTAGTGTTTTCAGAAAATATTACAAAATATTTAAGTTGTACTTTGTGGATGGGAGCCTATAGTAGGTGTTCCAGCAGTTTGGCTGCAGAGGAGGCATACGCTTTAAACCTTCCTTGAAATGTGGAGGGACAATGTCATCATAGAAGCAGCACAGACATTTTTCCTCTTGGTAGATTTAGGATTTTTTTTTGTACTGGGATTTGGCCTGCAACTAACCATTTTTATTCATAATCGAGGACCTGTACTTTTGTTGTGTGTTGTGGTTTTTTTGTTTTTTTTTAATTTGATAAAAACTTTAATAAAGGCTATTTATTCTTGAATACATTTCATGCAGTGTTAAATATAAATAACCAGCTATATGGTTGTAGAACAAAATATCTAATCCACTCTTGAGAATAACAGACCAGATCTATATAATATTAGAGGTTGAATATGGTACATATCATTAGACTGAGATCAACATTTTTATTTAAAAAAAAAAAACCTAAAATACTGTTTTGCAGATTGACAGGATTGTAATAAAATATTTTGCATGAAAGCCTCTTGTTATTGGCAGGTAACTTGATACAAGCTACCTGTGCCTGCTGTCACTTAAAGCCTGGTACCCACCTGTGTGGTGTGCTTCTTCCTCCCCCCTGCTCAACCCAGCATGCTGAACAAAACAAACTGTTAGATCACTGTACTAAAGCTGGGTACACACTACAAGGAAAACTGATGAATGATCGGGGTGGTTTTTTTTTTTTTTTTCCTTTAAGTTCAGATAACAAAAAAAAAAATCAACCTCTCATACTTGTCTGCTTTGTTTAATGGTGTTGCACAGAGCAGTCCCAAGTCTTTTCTTCTGGGGTCCCACACCAGAGCTTCTTCCTACCTTCAGGGTGCCCCTATTGCAAGGTGTAGAAAAAAAAAAAACACTTCTGCATTTCGAGTCACTTTAAAATAACGTCTCCTGCCAGGACTACATTTCCCATGAGGTATTGCTTATCAAATATTGAATGTTCTCAGGCACTTGCTGACATGTATGGACAGTGTACTGAGCTGTATGTGTGCTGCACTGTATTTTCTGATATGCAAACAAATATTGCATTCAGTATGCAGGCCAACTGGTCGGCTGACCAACTAATCTATTATGGAAAAAAAAGTTGACAACTATTTTCATAATTGTCGATTTTGTTGTTTCGGCCTTAACTGGGATTATTTGGAGTGTGATTCTTCCTCACGTGTTATATTTCTGTTGTCTTTGTCTTGGCAGAGGAACTGGTGTCAGAGAATTCAGACTCCATCTACAACACGTCTTCTGAAATGAAAGCCTGAAGTGCCAAGTCCTCGAATGGCATTGAAACGTGCAGATATCAAGACTCCGGGAATGGCAGACGCTTGTGGCAGTGCGCACTCCTCCCAGCAGCAGCATTGGAGGGAGCAGATTGGCAGAGGACATACGAGTTATTCCAGCCATGTGTTAGACTGTTCGGAGATGGAAAACGATTAATTTTCTGGGAGTTTCCTCTGACTCCGGCCTGGTTCTGACCACTTTGACATTTATTATTGTAGTTCCACTTCTGTGAATAAAGTGTATGGGGAATGAGTATACAACTGTGTCCCTGTTCTGGGTAGAAGGCTGGTGCTTCTATAATCACCTGACTGTGTGTGGGAGCTTTGCCTTCCCCTAGATATGTTCTGTGTAATCTGTTACTGAACGGGGAGCGGCCATTGCTGGTTTTTGGCTTTTTGAAGAAGAAAAGAAAAAAAAAAAATACCTGGGTCCTGTGCGTATCGTCTTATGAGTACTTGTACCCAGGTAGCTGTTTCTCTACCTTGCCCTTCTGACTTGTTTCTGGCCAGACTCTACAAAATGCAGCAGCCAGGAAGCTAGCATTTTGAGGCAGTTGTTATGGGAGTCCCCCTATGTTCTGTTATTTCCCATCCCCCCCTTTGTTTGGTACGCTTGTTTTTAAAAAAAAAAATAAATCAGCAGTAAAAGGCCTGTGGGGGGACTGGACCCCTATGCTTCACACTATCCTAGCCAGGGAGTGTTTTATATAAAGGCTCTGTGCCCTTAACTGTATTGGTGGTGGGGAGGCTGGGCAATATTCTATAAATGGTTATTAGAATTTTAAGTTTTTTTGGGGGGTAGGGTCCTCTCCTTCTCCAAAAGCACCTGATTATGTGAGTGTAGACAGCAACTTCCCCTGCCCAACCTTTCAGTTTTGTGAGTGTGCACAGTTGCTCTTTAAATACAGAGGTTTTAGTCAGAAGGTGAAACCCTTCTATGATAAAGCACATCGTTAGACCACTTGCTGCCCGGCCAATTGTGACATTTCACATACGTGTTAAATCTGCATGTTTTATTTTTGTTAGAAAACTACTTGGGATCTCCAAACATGAAAGCAGAGACACTGGAGAATGAAATGGTGGCTGCTTTTTTTTTCTCTTTTTTTCTCAATGGCACATGCTCAGCCATATATCTTATATTTTTAGGGGGAAAAAAAAAAATAATACACAATTGCATTTTAAACACAGTATAATAACTTCATTGCTATCATTAGAGATGAACAACATTCCTTGTGACAAGTACACTTTATGAAGAGATCTGCAGTGTTTTAGACTCCTTGTCTCCTCTGCCCTCACCAGCATTTGATGAAACCAACATCAGTTTTATCAGATACTTGGCTAGCTGGAAAACTGAAAGTGACAAAATCCTTGTCACTTCTGGCTTCATTCATCACAGAGGAGGGGAAGGAACAGATGTTCCCTCTCTGCAGTCAGCTTGACAGTTTGTAATGGTCACAGACTTCCCAGTGGAATGGGAGATCTTGGGAACAGCAGTGGGAAGGGGACCCCATCCTGTGCACTGTAAAAGTAGAGCTGCTCGGATCACTTTTATATGAAAGCCCATCACCAGTGTTAAAAATATGATACCAGGATCATAGCTGCAGCCATGATCCTGGCATAAACCCTCCCCCCCCCCCCCCCTTTCACCCAAGGCCTCATGTATACAGCTTCTGGGCTAGAAGTGCTTGATGTAGGTGTAGTAGTTTGGACTATTTAAAATATGGGGATCACATTCACACAGCAGTTTGCGGATCAAGTGCTACATTCTGTGCTATGGCCACATACAAGATGGGCAATTAGTTGTGACCAAACTCCAGCCCTGGATGCATCCTGCCTGCGTGGAGAGTCATAAGCTCTATTCATATGTATGCACTCGAATGAATGATTACATGCAAACGGTGGTGGTGCTGGCCATTGATTTGTAGAGTACAATTCTGACAGCTGCAGCTGTTCGCTCAGTGTTTGAAACCATCAGCAAGAATTTATTGATTCTTGTCAGTGGTTGCCCCTGGCCACAGACACAGCTGCTTAAGAGAGATAACAAAATAATTACAGCTCTGATTCAATAATACTGTATAAATGTATTTGTGAAAATTCACAATAAAGCATTCCATAAAAATTGTGATCAAATAAAGTCCTCCAAACAATATATGATATTTTTAACCAAAATTAATTTCAAATGAAATGGGTTCAAATAAAGCAATCCAATGGTGTAATGACTAAAAAGTTCCCATCAATCATATTATTCTTCCAAGTGTAGGAAAATCTTTGCTCTAAAGTGCCCACCACCACTAATACAGGAAAATGCATGTACCTGAAGTCTGCCTATCTCACTACAAGATTAGGCAAACACAGCTTGTATTGATGTTAGAGATTACCCAAAAAGGTGCAGTCCACTTTAAGGCTCCATCTCCGCTGCTGTCCCCCCTATTCAGTAGTTGGGTTTCATAGCCAGCATAGAACTAACAAAAAAAAAAAAAAAAAACAGGCTCCCGTGCATAAACCAGCCTTCCTCAACCAGGGTGCTTTGGCAAATTGTCTAAAAATTGGCCAAAACTTGTATACAAGCCTGCCCTTTAGTTACACAAAGCCAGAGGTTTTCATTGTGCACCATTACAACCTTCTAGCTGCCGGCATCCTGACAACCAATGACATCATCAGTTGATGAGGATGTTGGTTGCCTGCATGACATCCTAGTGTGACCCTCCCCTTCCCCTCTGTCAGTGCTGGGGTCACATAAGCTCAATGATGAATAAAAACTGAGGGAGAAGAGAAACAATGGCATACTAGTCAGTACCAGTGTGCAAAAGTGTATTTGCTTTGGAAGATTAAATCACCTCTACTGTTGGGTGTCCACACATGTAGGATATTGCTGCGTTATATAAAACTATTAGAATAGTTTTTTCATATTTTTAGAATGGGGTGCCCTTTTAAAATTATGAACAGCCTAGAGGCACCCCATTTTAGAATGGGGTGCCTCAAGACTGTCCATAATTCTAAAGGGTGCCTTGACTGAAAAAAGGTCGAGAAACACTGTCATAAACATCCAAATTTATTTGACACAAGAAATCAAGGGGCTCACAAAAGCTGTTTAACCATAAGATTAACATCAAGCATATAGATGGCAAAGATATCCAAAGAAGCTGCTGGCCGCCAGCCACTCCACTCTTTCCTGGCTCTCAAAAACATCAAAAATGACAGAATTGCACCTGTTAGGAAGATCTTTGGAATGAATACAAACTGTGTTTGCCTAATCTTGTAGCAAGATAGGCACATACTTCCATTACATGTGTTTTTTTTCTTGTATTAGTGGTGGTGGTGGTCACTTTGGATCAAAGACTTTTCTACACGTGGAAGAGTATTGGTGATGGGAACTTTTTAGCCCTGGTTCATACTAATGCAGTGCAGAATTTGCAGCGTTTTCCGCGTGAATTCCTCACTGCAGGCGAATCGCTGCGGATGTGTATGTTAACACCCCGGAATCAGTCAGCAAAACGCGGTGCGATGTGCAGAATTTGATCGCATAGGTGTGAACATGCATGCGATCCGATTCTAGCGCAGACCCAAAAAAGTGCCCTGCACCTTTTTGATGTGATGCGATTAGAGCCATACAAAATGTATGGCTCCAATTGCACCGCACACAAATCGCATGTGATTTGCAGAGGAATGCAGTGCGGTTCCTGTGCAAATCACATGCGATTTACTGCACTGCATATATATGAACCCAGGCTGAGTCATCGCACCATTGGATTGTTTTATTTGAACTTAGTTAATTTGAAATTTAATTTTGGTTAAAAATATTTTTCATGTATTGATTGGAAGACTTTATTTGATAACTATTTATGGGATGATTTATTAGGCATTAATTTTCACAATGAATACCTTATAGTAATAAATCAGCACTGTAATTATGTTGTATCATTTAAGGGTTTATATTATAGCAGCTGGTTGATGGCAGAATATTGTTGTTTGGTTCACAGTTTTGCAATATAATTCTCACAATTTATTATTTTCATCAGCCCAGAAGGATTTATTGGATTTATCACAGCTGCTTAAGAGTAACATACACATTACACTGCATGTAAACCCTAACCACGACACCTTACTTGCTGCTTGCTATGGGGGGCACTGGTGCATACTCGCTTCCAAGCCCCGCTTTATGCCTCCATAGGACACAGAGCCACAGCTCAGCCTCTCCCCCTGCTCTCTCTCCTTATGGGTTCACTGTCTGTGATGGACCAGCCAATGAGGAGAGAGAGACCTGGGACAGCCAAGGCTCTTGTGCACATCGCTGGATCCAGAGGGGGTCAGGTGAGTATAAGGGGGAGCAGTACACAGGTGTTTTACCTTAATGCATAAAAAAAATATCTTCAGCTTTTACCACCACTTTATAGCAGACTTCCACTCACCCTGTCAAAAAATAAGTCAGCAGCTACAAAAACTGTAGCTGCTGACTTTAAAAAACAGTCAGTCACCTGTCCCTCAGTCCGCGAAGTATGTCCCCCCCCCACAGCCCGTTTCACCAGCCGTCCTGTATTCCAGGAGGCCGGCAACTTCAGTGTGGGCACCCGGCTGTGATAGCTTGCGGCTTCACAGCCGGGTACACTGCGCATGCGCAAGTAGCGCTGGGCTTCATGAGTAATCCTGTAGTCTTCTGGGACCTGTCACTTGTCCCAAAAGACTACAGGGAGGGAGGACACCTTCCACTTCTGATCGCCTAGGCAATCGGACCAGAAGTGGGAGCACGGGTACCTGTCAAATTCAGCACAACAAAGGTGCCGATCCTTAATGGGGAGCGGGGAAGCAGTCTTTAAAGCGGAACTTCCCCTTTTGGGTGGAGCTCTGCTTTAAGCCTCATGCTCAAGGGCAGAAATAAACAACAGTTTTAAATGCATTTCTATATTTTTTTATGCCTCTGATCTCAGCTGTATTTCACCCAATGTGTCCATGCACATTGTGGCATTTAGGCTTGCATTTTAAAT